AGGAGCCATCTACTGACCAGGCCACTCTCCTGGAACCAGGGCCTGACTTCAGGGCCCTAGGAAGAGCCCATAGGCGCAAGTCTCGGAACTCTTTGAGGGCAGCTGGTTGAAAGAAATGAGACTCAGGCCCACAGGTGCCAGTCCAAGCTCAGGATACTTCAGCCAGATGTCACTGCTTGTCCCAGCCAGTCCCAGACACCAGAGGGCAACATTCTATGTGAAAGACAGTTCAATGTGTAGAGAACCCCTGAGGGGCGTACGCTCAGGACAGGGGCCCTGTTCGCTGAGTTCTAAAGACTGCACTGACTTCAAGTATATAAATTTTGTGGTCGTCCAAGGAATGGAATTCGAGGAGTTCTACAAAACCCCAAACATCCATATACTAGTTGATGTGCCTAAAACTGAACCCCATGCTAATGGTATTGTACTTTGTAATATAGCACTTCCAGAAGGATGCTATCAAAATTTTTATTTCATTCTCTGGGCAGTAAGCTCAGCAACATCACCATCAAATGCAGCTGCCATTCACTGACCTCTACTACGGGCCATTTAATCTCATATAATCCCTATAACAACCCTATAAAGTAGGTACCATTATTATCTCATTCTACAAGTACGGAACTTGAGGGTCTGAGAACCAAGAGTTGCTATCCATGGTCATGATTGTTTTTAAGTAGCAGAGCTTCAGTTTTCTTCCAGGCTATCTGATTCCCAAGAACATCACATGAGATTAATTGATAATCTGAGTGTAGATTATTTTATAATCTCACCTACATGTTAATCTTTAAAGTGGGCCCCTTAATAACTATATTAGATGAACAAAGCTTAGAAAAGTCTAGAACAACTTTTTCCTAAAACCACTAGTTCTAGAAGTGTTTATTAAATGATTAAGAAGGAGGACGAATTTCAAAGTGAAATAAACTCAGAAATGTTCAACATGTTCTCTGCTTCTTAGAGATTCATAAGGCATGCTATTATTAAAGGTCGTGAGATCTGCATAAAAAAACCTACTTAACTCCGCTTAACCCAGCATCTCCCAAATCACTTTAGCATCTCTGTTAATAGTCTTTGAAAAACCAATTTACAGAAAATCTGCCATGGGAAGTACAGAGAGTAACAGAAGCCCCAAGATCCTTGGGCTTCATCTGATACCCAGGTCCCAACCCAGATTAATTAAATCAATATATCTGGAAGAAGAACCTGGGGATTATACTTATGGTACTTTTCAAGCTCCCTAAGGTGATTCTAATGAGCAGCCAAGGTTGAGAAAAATGTGTGTAGAGCGTCCTGAAGACAATATTTGAATGTCTTGCAAGTAGAAAGAGAGTCATTTTCTGGCTTTGGTTCCTCCCTCCCAGTATTATTGTGTTCAGTGCTACATTACCCGACACTAGCAACACAGCAGCCAAAATGAGAGCAAGAATGAGAGTGAGAGCAACAAGGAGGCTGATTTCGAAAAAAAAAAAAAAAAAAGTACATATGTATATATATTATATTTGAAAAAGGATTAAAGTTGCCACTCTGTGTTGAACTTTCTTACACACATCTTATTTGTTTGTTCCTTAATATCATGTTGGGGAATATCCATAACCATCTAGAATGCTGGGCCTCTACAGCCATACTATGTTTATGTGCTCATGTCCTGAAAGAAGGGCTCAGAACCTAGAGGTTCTCTCCTGCACCTGCTCAGGCTCTCGCTCATTTTTCTGTAGTACTTAGTATATGTGTACTTTGCACAGTAATGCTTTTTGATTGACAGAGAGACAAAGAATCCAAGATCCAGATCCCAAACTCTACTTAGAGTTGAGTCTCACCCTGTGGGATGTAGGTGAACAAACTGAATGGTGCCTCAAAATGGGAAGCAGCAAATGGAGAGAAGGGCAGGAGCCATCCACTTAAATTATAGATCAGCCAGTTATGAGTTGGGTGATCTTGGTCAAGGTAAACTTGGCCTCTCTGAGCCTGTTACTTACCATTTGTAAAATGGAGCTAATATAATATCACCTCCTACAAGGATTACATAAAATCAAATATGTGACAGCATCTGGTAGAGTGCCCAGCACACAATGAAAGTTTTCTTCCTATTGTCTTGGGAAAAAAAGAATCCATATTGAGCCCTCTGAAACAGGGATTAGGCTACTCATCTCTTTTTATTTGACAGTGCAATAGTTGACATGGGTCAGAAAACATATTCCTCTTAAATGATTCTGTTTTATACAATTTTTATAACTTTTGAGGAGGTATTGAATAATCAATAACCAGGTACTCATTGATCAATAAATGTATTGAAGAATACAGAAGAAACTCATAGTTGCTTCCATTAAAAAGAAAAGCACTTATGACCTAAGGTCATATATTGTATATGAAAATTAATTAAGGAACAATTAAATAGCATATATAGGTCCACAATCCCTTATCTAAAGTTTTGGGGCCAGTGAATTTTGAAATTTAGAATTTTTAAGGTTTTAAAAAGCAATGCTATGTGAGTGAATATCTAGAAGAGTCTATCTGAGGCATTGTTCATAATCAAACACATTGTTTTTTCCTCTGTAAAATGTAGAATGGTGATATAACTTAAATAAATAAAATAAATAGCCTTGTATTTTCAATTCAGTCTGATTTTGCATCTAAATGAGTTTTGAAGTCGGTGAAAGGAAACCTCTAAGTTTTCAGAGCTTTAGAGATTTAAGACTAGTGGATAAGTGATTGAGGACCTATTTTATGGCCTAAAGCATATACACTGGAAAGACAAAGAGGAAATTACATTAGAGCTGAAGGAGTAGGTGGAAGTTTTGTGAATGAGGCAGCATTTAAGCTATAATGCATTAATTTTCTGTCCGTGGTGAGTCAGGTGTCCACCTCTTGTCACATGTCACACCAGCCATGGAAGCTGTGTTTTCCTGCTTGAGCCATCAGGTACCTTCAAAGTGTTTTGTAAGTTGCTTTCCTGAGATGGTCTTCCCAATCAGATGAAAGCCTGACCACTGAGATTGGTCCAAAGTGGAGGCTGGAAGGGGGACTAGGAGGACAGTGTGGGAATCCTTCAGGAGAGAAATTGGTGGGAACCTGGAAGAAGATGTCATCTCATCTATGAATGAGAGAATCTAGGCTTCAATTTTTTGCTCATTCTAGTGTCTTGATAGTTCACCATACAATGAATCATGTGACTTTTGATTAAGGAGTCAGACTAGGGACCCTTTTACCTTCCATTCCTAATCCTAAATGCTTTCTTTTACCTACTGGACATATTCCTACCGTGGCTAATTTTCTCTGACATGCACTCTTCTTTCCTCTCCTCCCACTCGCTTCTCATTTTCTCTTTTACCTTAGAAAATCTTCTGTCTGTTTGCCCTGAAAGGGATTCCCCATCAGGAAGAGTAGGAATTTGTCTTGGCCAGACCCTCACCTCCTGCCATTCCTCCACCAACATCTGAAATGTCAGAGTAGCCCACAGATGCAGACACATTTCCTGCTCAACAACACTGTTCCTAAGAGGTCATTGCCAGGAGAGGAGAGTCGGAGGGAAATGTTGAATCAGAGGAGTCTGGAGTCAACACACTTAGTTGGCTGCCTGACTACAAGAACAGGGAGGAGAAAGAAAATTGGGGAATAAATGAAGAAAGTAAAAGCCAGTCAGATAAACCAAATCTTTTCTTCCCTCCAGTCTCCCATTTATGTATATCCCTGACTGTTGATTATGTTATAGTTTAGGAGGGTGAAACAGAGAAAAACCCTAAAGTGACATCTCAAAAGTCACATAGCAAATCCTTATAGACATTACCTTGGATTTCCTCCTGGGCCCATGCATGTCTAACTACACTATTGCTTATTGCTTTGAATTCATAGAAAATAGGCTCTGGGCAGCCACTTACATCCTCTATTTATTCCACCCCACATCTTCCCCCAATCTTGAGTAGATGTAAACCCTCTCTGCTGAAATTATTCTCTCACCAACTTTCTTGTTCTTCGAAACAAAAAAAGGGAAGAGGTGCTGGGTGAGAACGAGAACCCTTCTGATCCCACTCATTCTACACCTATTGAGCACAAGGTGTGGACACTATTCTACTTTCCAGACCTAATTTAGAACAATGGCTCCCTCTCTTCCTCTCTCTCCTCATCATTCTTTTTACCCACCTTCTCTCCTACCCCTTATGCCAGACTCTTTGACTATAGGACCAGTACCTTTTTACCTGGCATTGAATGAGCAATTAATGTTGGCTGACTGAATTTCCAAAAGTATTTGGAGAAAGAAACAGGAAGGGCCCAGAAAGAGAAGAAAAGGAGAACAGAGGAAAGGGAGGGAGAAAAGAAGCAAAGGAAAAAGAAACAAAGGAAGTAGAGGGGAAAAAAGAAGCAAAGCAACGAGGCAGGTACTAAACAACGGGAGGAAAGAGAAGAGGGTAGAGAAGTGTTAAGTAAAGGAGGGCTTTCCCTGACCTAGCTCAAGTTCTATCTGGACTGCAAAATCATAGTACCTTACCAGCAGACCTCTGAATCCCTAAATATAAGCCCTATATTCAGACTCAGGAAAAAACCCTGTGAACACACAATACAGTGTACAGATGATGTGAAATTGTGCATCTGAACCCTGTATAATTTTGATAACCAGTGTCACCCCAATAAATCCAATAAAAAGGGAAAAATAAAAAGAAAGAAACCATGTTCCACATGGTGCTCCAGAAGCAGAGACGTGATTACTTTAATTTGTATCTGCAGCAGACAAGTGCTGTGTGGAAAGTCCAGGTTGGAGAGAGGAAGAACTTAGTGAATCTAGATATCATCAACCTATTCTGCCACTTCTGATCCCAAGAACGAAATGCAAGATAGGTGAACCCTCTGGCAAAGAATTGTATTTTCATGGGGGAATGATAAAGAATAAGCCAGTCTCACTTTCCAGAACCTTTTTTGCAGAATACCTAAGAGGAGGAAAACAGCGTAAGAAAGAGGAAGTGAAAAGAGAAAGAAGAGAAGGTGAAGAAAAAAGAAGATAATTTGCTTCATTACCCAGACGTTAACAAGGTTTTCATGTCCTTACAGGATATAATAATGAACTTTTCTAAAATAAAAGTTAGGTAATTGCAATGAGGAGTGACTTGGCCTGGTTTAGATAACTTGCAAAATGTCAAATCAAAAGGACGGTAGCTTTTGTGACATTTGCCTCCCTGGAGCTCACAGGCAATGACAGGGCCATTACAGACAGCTTTGACTGCATCTAGCTCCTCGTGAATGAATATGTACTGGGTTATGCATGTGTGGTTGTGCTCCTTCATCTTGTGTGCCATCATGGCATTGCACTCCCGGGCCATCAGGTCAAGCTTGAGATAGTCTTTGTTGCTCTGATTCAGAGCTTCAGCTCTAAGCATCTTGTTCCCTCCAACTTCATCTTCATTGAGGATGGTATCTTCTGGCCAGCCAGGTTGCACCACTCCTTTGTTGCTAAGCAGTAGGGTTTCTGTTGTTTGGGTTCCCTCTGCCACCTTAGTGGCCTTGACTTTATCTTGTGAGTCCCTGGACCAAAATTCATTCAGTGATTGATCGCTATCCTCCAGGACTGCTGCAGCCATCTGAAGCCCTAAACCCAGGCCCATCCCCAGGCCCAGCAACAGCAGCAACATCATGAAAAAGATTTGCACCAGAGTCAGCTTCATTTTGCCTGAAGAGAAGGAGGGAAAAGGAAGAACTGATTTTGAGGTGAAACTTGGGTCCAGTAGAGACCCTAGACTCCTTAAACCCTGACAGCATAGTCTTTGGAGTCTCCTCTTCCTTTCCCCACATTACCCCATTCTGTTCAAGGGACCTCCTGTCCCTCCCTATACATTCCCTGTTATGTAATAACATGGGATCCTGCAGAACAGGAAGAACCAGGGAAAGCAGTCCTGAAGTTGGTTCACATGTGGGCAACAGTGAAGGAAAGTTGACATCAACTGACTCAAACAAGTAACCCAAGAGACTGGCTGAGACAAGCAAGTACAGTGTCACTATTTCCTTGAGAGAAATTCTTGTAGATAGCCTCATTCTCAGTGAATGACTAGAATGACCATAGAAGACCATCTCTTTTTATCCCAGATTTATTTTTGCTCATTTAAGTCTTTATTACTCTCCTTGCTGCCCACTCTTCCCCCCAAAAGATAAAAAAGAAAAATAGAAAAAGTACTATAGTTCATTCTTGCTCCTAAGCTGGGGTGAGGCAGGGAGGTAGGAGGTGAGGGAAAAGGAAGATGCTCAATGTCCTACCTCAGGACTCTGCTAAAACTACGCCTTGTCACACCAGATCTCTTCTACTACTAAAGCTCTCTTAGCACTTGGGTATTTTCTACTTAGTAGTTTTATGCTCTTAGGTAAGAACGGATTAAGAATGAAACCAAAGAAAGCCAAACAATGAATTTGCTGATGTTCTTCTACTGATAAAGATGCTAATGAGCTGAGCAAAGGGCCCACATCTTTTTTCTACTAGGCCAATCTCAGCTCCCTATCAAAGAGGCCTTTTCCACCAGAAAAAAATTGCTATAGTCTGTTGAATAGGTAGGAATATTATATCAATGTTTGATATACTAAATTTGACAATTATACTATGATTATTTGAGATAATATCTTTGTTCTTCGAAAATGAACCCTGAAATATTAAGGGACAAAGGGGCATGGTGTATGCAAACTATTCTCAAACCCCAAGTGGTTCAAAATATAGATTATATTATATGTGTGCATATAATCTATATGTATGTTTAGAGAGAAAGAAAAAAATAATTTTTTTTAAGTGGGAAGAATTTTAAAAAAATAATATATCTGGATAAAAGGTATTCAAGAATTCCTTGTATTATTATTATAACTTTTCTTTAAAGTTGAAAATATTTCAAAAAAATTTTTTTATTTTAATTTTCTAAGAGAGAGAGTATAGTCTATGTTGTTCCCTGGGGCACCCAACACCACTGTGACTTACCTACACACTTAAGTAGCTTCCAAAATTGTTTCTTCTTTTTTAACAAGTTCTTCCCTCCCAGGGTTTCCTTCCTTCTGAGAAGTGCCCTGGATGTTTGTCTTCAGAAAAAGGATGATCAACTTGTGGTCCATGTGCTCTTAAACCCAGACTTATTCATAAGCCTACTCCCCTCCCACATCCTCCATCCAGCACTGAATAAACACATTCAGCCAATTCTCCTTTCTGCTCCCATAAACACTTTGAAGTAAAGCTATTTGGGCATCGAGACAGACACAGACAGCCAACACAGGAAATGGCTTGAGCCAGGGAAATTGTAGTTTAATTTTGTCAATAAACTGTTCCACTCTTGAGTTACACCCACTCTTCTGAGCTTCATAACACCTGATCTTGCCCATAAATTTCAAACCAAGCCATTTCCTTATATTCTCCATGTTTGCTTCCTTTAACCCTTTCCTATAGTTTCTGCAATGTCAAGATCTTTGGCATTTATTTGGGTCATCTCACCAAAATGGCTATTTTGTTTTTCACATTTTAGAACATTTGAACATTTGGAGTATGAGTCAATCATGAATTTTTGTATATCTTTCCTATGAAGTCTATCTTACCTTTTCACTCTCCACTCTCTCTTTCCCACATTCAGCCAATAATCACACTCGCATAAGAATATCTAGACTTACCCTAGCCAGTTTGGCTCAGCGGTTGACCTGGGGACCAGAGAGTCCCAGGTTCAGTTCCTACTAGGGGCATTACCACAAAAAAAGAACTACATTCTCTAGTCTGGCTCAGTGGTTGAGCATCAACCCAGGCACCAGGAAGTCACCGGTTCTATTCCTGGTCAGGACACATGCCCACGTTGTGGGCCAAATCTGCCAAGTCCCCAGTGTGGGGCATGCAGGAGGCGGCCAGTTGATGTTCTCTCTCATCGATGTTTCTATCTCTCTCTCCCTTTCACTTCCTCTCTAAAATCAATAAAGGGAAAAAAAAACAAAAAAAAAACAACAACATCTAGACTTTTCAAACCTGGTAATTTAGCTGATTCCAGTCACTTCTTTAACTAAAAGTGACATCATGAGATAATATTTTTAAAAGCGCTCTGGAAATTATTCAAATATTATACAAACCCTCTCTAGACATAAACAAGCCCCTCATAGTAGGATGTTTTACTCTGTCATTCAAGCTGGAGTTTTCCAATGGTGGTCTGGGAGCCTCTTCTGTGATTTTCAAAATCTGCTAAACTGATCATTTGCAGTGCTGATACAGACAATTTACAATAATTATAATAATATCTACCAATACTGAGCACTTACTTCATACAAACCATTTATTGCATTTCACCCTCACAAGTTGCTTGTGCAGGAGGCGGCCAATCTATATTTCTCTCTTATCAATGTTTCTATCTCGCTCTCCCTTCCTCTCTCTCTAACATCAATAAAGAAAAAATAGCCTGGATGGAAGCTATAGCCCCTTCTGTTGGAAACCCTCTCAACCTACCCTGTGCGGTTTATGCCCTGCTGAAGACTACAGCCTGAGACTCATTAAGTGACTGAGATTAACAGCAAGCCTACAGACCAAGGTGGATCTCTAGGTGCTTTGAGTCTTTGCCTGACCTGCTCCTGAACGAAGGGCTAGTAAAGGAAGACCTTGATGCAAAGCTTGGTCCTTCCCACACACCCCCAGGCCCAGTAGAGGGAGCCACAAGTTGTGGATTACTAACAGCTCCAAACAGGATATTCAGGGTTAGTCACAAACAGTGTCTGACATTGGCCTGCACCAGAGACCCTCGAAGAGGCCCAACAGCAATAAACTCAATGGTCAGATTCAAACAACAGCAGAGCAGGATACAATGAGATTCACAAACAGTATATCCACTGGGAGATCTTGGGAGGCTCCAAACCCTGCTGAGGCGAACTCCACTTCATGTGATAAGCATCAGAAGAGCAACCTGCATGCTGTGCTGGGGGTTGAGCCTCACTGTCAGCCAGCCTGAGGGTTGAGCCCATGCACAAGTAGGTCACTAACAATCAAGATTCTGATACAGGACTCCACCAGAAAACCAGTAGATTTAATAAACCAATTTGGAAAGCAGTAGGATACAAAATCAACATCCAGAAATCAATGGTATTTTTTATATACCAATAATCAACACACAGAAAGAGAAACTAAAAACAATAAATAAAAATCCCATTTACCACTGCAACAAAAAAGTGAAGATATCTGGGAATAAACTTAACCAAGGTGGTAAAACACCTGTTCTCAGAAAACAAGACATTATAAAAAAAGAGAGAGAGAGAAAGATAGGAAGAATCAACATCATTAAAATGTCCATACTACCCAAAGCAATCTATAGATTCAATGCAATCCCTATGCCCAATGGCATACTTCACAGTTCTTGAACAAATACTCCAAAAGTTTATATGGAACCAAAAAATACCCTGAATAGCCACAGCAACCTTGAAAAATAACAGAAATGGAGGGATGACAATTCCAGATTTCAGGTTATACTACAAAGCCACTAAAATTAAAACAGCCTGGTACTGGCACAAGAACAGGCATATAGATCAATGAAACAGAACAAAGAACTGAGAAATTGACCCAGTACAGTATTCTCAATTAATATTTGACAAAGGTAGCAAGAGCATACAATGGAGTAAAGACAACCTCTTTAATAAATAGTGTTGGGAAAATTGGACAGCTACATGCAAAAAAATGAAACTAGACCACCAACTTACACCATACACAAGAATAACTCAAAATGGATAAAAGACTTAAATGACACTCATGAAATCATAAAAATCCTAGAAGAAAATGTAGGCAGCAAAATCTCAGACATCTCACATAGCAGAATTTTCACCAATACATTGCCTAGGGCAAGAGAACAAAGAAAAACTTTTTTAGTTTGATGGGGCTATATCAAACTAAAAAGCACAGCAAAAGAAACCAGTATCAAAATGAGAAGGGAACCCACTGTATGGGAGAACATCATTGCCAATGATACATCAGATAAGCAGTTAATTTCCAAAATATATAAAGTACTCATACAACTCAACAAAAGAAAGACAAATAATTCTATTTAAAATAGGCCAAGGACCTGAATAGACACTTCTCCAAACAGGACATTCAAATGGCCAAGAGACACATGAAGAAATGCTCAACATCACTAATTATCAGAAAAATGCAAATTAAAACAACAATGAGGTATCCCCTCACACCTGCCAGAATGGCGGCCATCAACAAATCATCAAACAACAAGTACCGGGGAGGGTGTGGAGAAAAGGGAACTCTAGTACACTGCTGGTGGAAATGCAGACTGGTGCAGCCACTGTGGAAAATAATATGGTGTTTCCTCATAAAATTAAAAATGGAACTGCCATTTGAGCCAGTGATCCCACTTCTAGGAATATATCCTAAGAAACCTGAAACACCAATCAGAAAAAATATATGCACCCCTCTGTTCATTACAGCACTATTTTTTTTTTTTTTATCCTCACCCGAGGATATTTTTCCATTTTTTGTACAGATAGAGTGGGAGGGAGAGAGAGGAAGGGAGAGAGAGAGAGAAACATCGACGTGAAGGGACACATCGAGTGGCTGCCACCCGCACGACCAACCAAGGCCGGGTACAAACTGCAACCGAAGTACGTGCCCTTAGCGGGAACCGAACCCGGGTCTCTCCGGACCGCAGGCCGACGCTCTAACCGCTGAGCCAAACTG